GCGGAATCAACAAAAGCCATGAAGCCTAGTTATTTAAAAAAAAAAATACATATTTAATTTTTTTTACGATTCTTTTACATAGATTTTATTGTAGAATATGTTATTGAAATAACATGACAAAAAATACAATTTAACGATGATATTAACCGTTTAATTGGACTGTATTTTGTATGTCAACATACGTAGCTGCGCTCCTGACAAACCTCCTTCGCTTCTTCCATTGGTAATTTAAATTTAAACCCGGCCTTTTCAAGGATATCCCAAATCTCCGTCCGACATCCGTCCGAAACAATTACTGCCAAATAAGCAATACTTGACCAAATAAAAAGACGCGTGATGCGAATGAGTCTTCATACTTGATACTTGTCTAATTTTGTCGAATATTACTTATTTGACAGTAATTGTTTCGGACGGATGTCGGACGGAAATCGACAGTAGACCTCCTGATTGAGATATACGTACGCCGAGGTATTCCTATATTATGTCCTTAAATAATGATGTATCACTGGAATATCTCAAAAATCTTTTCCAACCTTTAAATATTGTCAACTGTAGCCACCTCACCAGGCTGTTTTTTTATTGCGAAACCTGACCCTTGCAGGGCGTAATGATGCGTGAAATGGCCGCAAAAAACGGTCTTGACCCGAAGATGGGACTATTTGGACTTAACTGTCAGTAGACATGTTTTGCCCGGTTAAATTTGAGAACTATAAGCTGTCTATTAAGCTATATATGTGTACAATTTGTACATTTGTATACATACACAACATGCTGGACTGCCACGCAGATCCGCGATACAGGGTTTCCCTAGTACGGTTCTGTAATTGTGTGCGTTGTTACATTTGGGTACAATGTGTGATTATGATGTGTAAGGTGAGCTTTTTAATCGAATTTAAAAAAAGGAGGGAGTTATCAATTCGTCAGGAGAAATTACACGGGACTTGTCAACTTATGTCTCAGGGTGACGGGCGCAGTGGCAGTGCCCATAAGATCTTTGCGATTTAAAGCTCTGAATAGCACTGCAACTATTATGGATAGGCGGGTCATTATCACCATACGCACGACTTGTTTTTATTTGTTTTGTTATATAACTGTAGTTTTATGTCTTTTTTGTGTGTTTAGTTCCGTAATTGTTCTGACATTTATGAATCTATTTCGATGATTCTTTTTTTGTTAAAAAGGAATTACGTTAGTAGTGGTTTCATTAATATTTTAAGACAATATTCCACCTCTATGGAATGTATCGAACGTTCTGAATAGCTCGGAAAGCGCCCTTTGATTTCAGAACGATATACAATCGAATGATTCGGTTAAAATAACGAAGAGTTCTGAATCGGGGTCCTGGATAGTCAATACGGCTGTTTTTTTTTTAAGTACAGTAATTCCTTTTCTGTTTCAACGTCATTATATAGAATAATTCAACGTGTTGTTAACTTTTCTTTTACAGCCTTTTCTAGGCCGTGACATTAGCTTAGTGGGTCCTTTAAATACGCCACAGCCGTACACATGACATCCACTTACAGCGTTGACTATTTAATGATTATGTTCTTGTTATTATCTTTTTTTTACCTCTCTTACGGTGTATTTTTGTGTAGTGGTGTTGTAATAAATAGTTTATATTCTATTCTATTTAACTTAATAACTTTTCTTAATTTCTTCTCTGTCTTTGCTATATTATTTATTGCCAAGTTATTTTGATGTTTTTCAAGCTTTGGGAACAAGGGTGTCGAAAAGGTGTTTAATGAACTAACGAAATGTGTGAGATACAATGATTTTGCATGCAGTGGAACCATACCATGAAAACGGACCAGACCACCGGGGTTCAAAGATGTCGCTCCGTGGAGATACGAAGCTTTCGGAGGCGGTATGCGTGTTAGCAGATGCTAATATTGATTTTAGTGAATATCATAATTACCAACGTATTTATTTAATTTTTTGTGAAGTTGCTCCATTACTTTTTTATTTGTATGCCCGTAAAAATATACATAACTTCGTTAAGAAAAAGGGTATCCATAATATTAACCTTAGAACTAAGCCCAAACTTACCACGCTTTCGTTTAACTAAGGTAAACGGTTATTTTATGGTAAACTGTATACGTTTTTACAATAAGATTCCGGAGCATATATTAAGATTACCATTTCCTAAGTTTAAAACTTACATTAAAAGTATTTTAATTGAAAAGTCATATTACAAAATTGTAGACTACGTGTTAGATAAAGATGTATGAAAAGACAACGTGAGTCTAAATTCTACACAAATATGATTCAAAATATATTCTATAGCATTTAAGTTTATTTCAAAAGAGCAATCCCTTGAGTTTCTTGCTTGGTCTTCTCAGGGAGGTCAGCGTAGTGAACGAGCAGTGGCTTAAAAAAAGACGTTTTCAAGTGTAAAAATTTTACCTATGTAATAAATGATTATTTGACTTTGACTTGTTTCTCATAATTATTAATAAAAAAAACTTCGATCCGATAGGACTCGAATATGCCAAACTCATTCCTAGTCTAAGGTGTCGACCTTGTGTTGACATTGATTGACAGATTTGTTACTCCTCGACAATGTATTCTTCCTTCCTTTGATATGCAATCTTAGCAGTAGAAGCGTTTCCGCTTCTGATTGATCACATTTTGGCTCCTCATTTGAAATTCAAAATTGGCTATTAGAATTTTGATGCTCTCTCTCGCGCTAGCAAACGCTCGTCATTCATGTACCGACCTTGGAAGCATCGAGTAAATATTACGAAATCTCACCGTTTCGAAGACCCACGCCTGGCCTTACTTCTACTCTTGTCTGATGACCAGTTCCTTGTTTGTCTCACGCTAAACTTGGTCTTCACGTTTACGCTCCTCCTACCTGGACTGTGTGCCTCACCTTCACCAAGCAAGTTTGGAGCGGCAGG